ATTTTGTATCCTATCCTGAGATAAATTTTGGATTCAGCAAGTACTCAATTGGAAAACAACCTTTTTTTACTCCATTGATGTACTATAGTGTCATGAAATTAGAATTATCACAAGTTATCATTTATAGGAGAAGCGACAATCATATATCTTCAAAATGACTCAACAACAAGATTTGGTCCCAGGTAGCTGCAGAATCATGTATAGGAGAAGTGGCAGATCATATTATTGTGAAATATGTTCAAAGTCATCCACCATCACTTCAGGTTGAATAGCATAATGTTAGGTTTATTGAATATGGAACAATCATGAGGGATACATAAAGAAGGAAGTAATTTGTTACATGAACAACAATCAGCTGGTTCGCGTCTAAGTCAAGTTAATGTAGCCTCTAATTAACACGATTGAGCTAAAGTGTTAAATCAAACATAGTGTGTGGAGCAGATATTTTCACTGCAAGCAAAAAAATCCATAAAAGTTGAACCAAGCGTAGTATCTCAAAGTAGCATCACACGAACCTGTATATGTGGAATACTTAATCTTCTCTAGCTCGTCCGCCTCACCCTTTGTTCGATTATCTGCCCCTGGAGCAGCAGTAGCAGCTCTGACACAAACAGCATAATACAGAGTTAGTAACCAACCAATCTAAATCTACGGCATGAGAGAGTGTTGGCTGCTCACTTGCTTGAGGTCAGTTAGGGAGAGGATAGAGACAAAAGAATGGTTGGAATTAGCGTCAGGTCATTTCCATCCACAAAGCATCATAAAGTAGTGAGGCATGGAATGCTGCCTAATTCCCTCATTGGAGATAGCGACGTTGACTGTCAGGTGCAGGATGGGAGGCTGCTGCTGGAGGAGGAATCACCTACGGACGTCGACCTGGGTGACCTCCGAGCAGAGGGCACTACGACCCCAGCCAGTGGTGGCCAACGTCGGGGCAGCGGCCTGCTCGGCGGATTCCAACATTATTGTTGTCCAACCTGTAGTTTAACACTTCTAAGGTCACTCGGCAAACGCAACCACAGGGCAAAGCCCGACGGAGGATCTGGGCGGAGGAAATCAAACCTGGGCGGTGGAAGCAGTCCCTCGGCGAGAAAAAAAAAAGAGGAGCAACATCGTGTAACTCTGTACTCATCATCTGACCCGTCTGTCCACGACGGCACTGCCCCATGGCTCGAGGACAACATCACATTGCTCTGCTTCAACATGACACCATCTACCGGAGCATCAGGCACGACGGACAGCAGCACCAGGCCGTCACCAAAATAGCAACCAAAGCACAAGAAATTGAAGGAGAAAAGAAAAGGGCCAAACCCTGGAACTAACAGAGGAGGAAAACGATACGGAATAGTGGCAGTGGCGCAGGGATGCCTCCCTTCGGCAACCACCTCGCGGGAACGCCCTCATCCCGCGGACACACCGCTGCCCTGCCAGAACCATCGACTGCCGCCTGAGCGCCCCCTTCACGAGATGGGTGATGGCGACCGCCGACCTCGCTAGCGCTTCCCCTAAATCGCGTTCCCTCTGGAGACGAAGAGAACATGGCCCAATTTTGACCAATGCGAGGCCGTCGGTTGGGCTGTGGTGACAAACGGGCCTAACACTGACATCCGGGGGCCGCTAGAGAAAAACAACCGAGCTCTGAGGGGGCTTGATTTCGTAGGAGCTTAGTAACTGTAACGATACTCAATGTGCAGTACACCTATACTCGGCGCGATTAGTGACTACACGCTAAGACCCATATGTGCACAAACTCTGCAATACATGAATAAACAAGAAGGTGAGAAAAACTAAAAGGAAGGAGAACTAGGAAAAAATGAAGTGATGAAGTTCTCCCACATCCGGTGATCGCATGCCTCCACACACAATATGAGCGCAACTATTCTTCCCTGCAGCCTACGTTTACTCTCCTACTCCCTCCTTAAAGAAACTAGTCAATGTGTACGTGCAATGCACGTTAATTTGGAAGTATATTAAGTGCATGCGGATATTACGTAGGATATTATTTGCGTGTTATGTGCTTAGCACTATTTTAGGCATGAAATTAGCTGCACGCTGAACGTGTTGACCACTCGACATTGAAGCAGCCTTGGTCATTGGATTGACATGATTTGATGCCCGAGATTAATTGGATCTGCCCCTTTGTGTCTTTTTATATTGGTATAGATAAGAGAGTTTAGATCACAATTTTAGTAATCTAAACGCTCTTATATTTCTTTATAGAGGGAGTACAACACAATTTGTACTTCCAGTGTAACTTCAGCCCGCAAAATGCACATGTACTTGGTGGAGGAAGTATCAGGTGCAAATAGGCCAGGAACAAAGTAATCCAGTCACACTTTTCCACAGGATTTGATGAGTATTGATTTCAAAGCATGCAATCTGACAGATGAGTTTTGATATCAAAGCAGGCCATCTGACAAAAGAACATCGTAAAGTTGCTACGGTCTATTTGGATGGGGTTGGCATTGCATTGGCTCGAATGCCAATTATTGACGACATTGATATTAAGCTCAGTAGCAGTTTTAGTGTTTAGATGTTCATGTATTTGGAACATGGAAAAAAATGACAAGACTTCTCCTCCTTTATTCACTTAGCAAAATAGTGGCGTCGTTTACAAGTAATGGAAGCAGTACGTCCGGTGTCGAATCCATCCAGATAGAAGGAGAAAACTTAACTATCTTAGCGAGTGCATGAGCTACTTTATTACTCTCTCTATTACAATGATCATAAATTACATGATTAAAATCTGATGACATGAAATAGCAATCATCAATAATTGCACTTGCCACCGAAGAGGAGTTGCCTTCTCTCAAAACTTCCACAACCTCCATGTTATCCGAGTTGATCATGATCTTGCTGCATCCAATGGTTCTAGCTAGATTCAAGCCAAATCTGACCGCGAATGCCTCTGTAGTGAAGTATCATAGCATATGTCCACTCATACATTTGAAACTTGGAATTTAAGGAGAGCTTCCAATACAAATTCATGTTTGGATGGCGAAAATATTGAACTACAAATGATCATTGTCGATTCCCCTGCCCCATGCTCATGGACGTCCACCAAGCCAATCCCCCTTGCTCCATGGCCTCGACCTCCGCCCCGCCGTTGTGGACCATTGCATCATTGTCGGCCAGGAAGTGGCCTTCTCATGCGTCTACTGCTACCGCAAGTTATTTTTTTCAAAACGGAGGAAAAAGATTAGCCTCATCCATTAAATAAGTAGATAGTAGAGTTTAGAGTTTTACAACAGACCCACAAAAGCGGCATTGACAATTACTCACCTAACAACAAGTTCCCTAGTCTCTTAGCGCTTGCGGTTACCCAAAGTTTGGCCTCGTCCAGGATGGTGGTAAGGATAATAGGCGGTGGCATGCACTTGTGATGGAACACTCTAACATTTCTTTTATTCCAAATTGTCCAAGAGACAAGCATGGTGAGGGAGGACATAGCATGCCAATTAGGATTGGTACCGTCAGTTCTCTTGTCCCAACACTTGTTGACGGTTTCGTGGAGGTGCCACATTGATGTATCCATGTGATGTATGCCAATCTTCTCGACGATGGCTCTCCAAAGCCTAATCGTGTAGGAGCACTTGAAGAAAAGATGAGCACCGGTTTCCTGCACCCTCTTGCAAAAAGGGCAGAGGCCGCAATTTGGCCACCCACGCCTCTCTAAGCGATCGGCGGTCCAAAACCTATCTTGCAATGCCAACCAGGCAAAGAATTTAACCTTGGAGGAGCCCAAACCTTCCAGACCATGTGGTCCATGGAAGAGAGGGTCAAGCCAAGGAATTGAGCCTAGTATACGGTGGCCGCCGTGTAGATTCTGTCATTCTCGTGTTTCCAAACAATTTCATCTTTGGCTTGTTCATCAAGGTGAAAGTTGTGCACAAGCATCCAACAAAGTCAAAAATTATCGAATGTGGTTGCCGAAGAGCTGCTACGAAAATACGCACAGGATCGAACGTGTTCTCGCGAAGCTGGTGGTCGTCGCCCCCTCCTCCACGACATGGATCTCTGGGCGACAGCGGCAGCTCCAATGCAAGCGGATGGTACTCGCACGTTGACGTCGGAGTGGGACAAGAAGGAAGTTGCCGCCGCGTTGAAGTGCTGGACTTGTCGGCCAACGTTCGTGTCCCAGAGCGGGAAGGGGGGCGAATAGACCAGGGAAGACGGGAGCATCATTTCCATGACTGAATGTCTATGCCACCAAACAGAGATATTACGTTGGCAGATGCCAATTCCGAATTCCAGCTTTGAATGTCCACATCAAATTCCAGCTTTGAATGTCTGCATCCAAACACTACGTAAGTTATTTAAAATAAACTGAACTTAACGGAGAACTCTAATGGCCCAGCAACAAACAACTACTCCCTCCGTTCCTAAATATTTGTCTTTATAGAGATTTCAACAAGTGACTACATACAAAGCAAAATGAGTGAATCTACATTTTAAAATATGTCTACATACATCCGTATATCGTAGTCCATTTGAAATGTTTAGAAAGACAAATATTTGGGAATGGAGGGAGCATTCATCAAACTAGCTGGTGCCCAGAAACTATGAATGCATCATGGGAAAACACAGAAATACATCTCTATCTCAAGAGAATAAGTTAGCCACAGGAATATGTTACCAACACCGTGTGATCAGGCCCACAAACTAAGATATACTCCCTCCGTCCGAAAATACTTGTCATCAAAATGGACAAAAAGGGATGTATCTAGAACTAAAATACATCTAGATACATCATCTTTTATTCATTTTCATGGCAAGTATTTCCGGACGGAGGGAGTACCACTTAAATATACTTACATAAACATCTTGCAATCGATACCTCGGCGTCTACTAAGCACAATTAAAACACTGTTCATATGGTTACTAAGCATAGAAGTGCTAGCCCACATGGACTAAGCAAATTTCATTAACATATCCTACCCCAACAAAGGGTTGTTAGAAACAAAGATAGGACAAAAGGCAGCATGCGCGGACCGTCCCTTCTACGCATCTCTATATTCATAATCTTCATGGTCACTGTCGCGCAATTCTGATGGTGGCAGCCAGTTTAGAATTTTTGATTCCACTGACTTAGCAGAGAGCATCTTGGCCTTCAACATCTCGAGATCTCCATCCAACAATTTCTGCAAATCAGCCAATGCATTCAATGCTTCCTTACAAAGGTCTTCTGGAAGTTCATCCTTCCTCACAGACAAGACATCGTCAAGGGTATTCATTGTATGCTTTGACAGATTTCCTAACCTAGCACGGATTTCTGTACCGGTCATTGTCCAGTCAAGTAGAGCCCTTTTGACAGCCTTGTCCACGTTCTCTTTCAATCTGTCCTTTGGGTTTATGGGGAAAGACAACGGCACTTCATCACCAGCACATCTCACTTTAACCACATAATCCTTGTCAACTTCCAATGTCAGTTCAAAATAAACACAACCTTGAAATGAGCCTCTATTATTGATTACCTGTGTCTCACCCAATAGGATATTATGCTGAACCATCACATGCTCCCCGAAAAATATTCTGATACACTTGCGCTCGCCATAATCCAACCAAGTAGGAATCTTTACTGTCCGTTTTATTGGAAGGGTGCTGTGTCTTGGAATCACTTTGGTAAAAATTCCTTTTGAGGACTCAAATCCAATAGAGAGCGGAATCATATCATCACTAATCTCTTGTTCATCTTCTAGAATGAGAGCAGCTTGAATCGCAGATCCTACAACAACAGCTTCTTCAGGGTTCACCTTAGTGTTCAGGTTCTGACCAAAGACTTCACAAATGATTCCCTGTATCTTCGGAACTCTGGTCATCCCCCCAAACAATACGATTTCCTTGATATCCTCGGTAGATACCTTAGCATCTTCCAAAATACTCTGACACTTGACTTTAATTTGTCCTAGCAAGTCCTTGACCAACTTCTCAAACAGCGGGCGAGAAATTTTAATGTTAAGATCAACAGGTCCTGGGACAGATGTGCTGAAGGAAGGGACTGAAACTGTAACCGCAGGCTTGCTTGATAATTCAACCTTAGCTTGCTCCACCGCTTCTGCAACCATTTTCATAGCATATATATCTCCACGAATGTCAACTGAATGACCTTCAAGTATTTGTCGACCAATAAAATCCACGAGTTTGTCATCAAACTGATCCCCACCGACAGAGGTGTCAGCAAATTGAGTTCTGATCTGTCGATACAAAGCAATGGATACAATCAAGATTTAGCAACAGAGATTAGCACAACTGCTAGCTATGGACAACACAAAAACAAAAAAACTGAAGTACGTACCTCAATTTTTCTGTCAGGAGACACACGAAGGATTGTGACACTATAAGACCCGGCACCCATGCCAAAAACAACAACAATACCATCTTCAGTTGTTATGCTAGAAAGCGCAGCAGCTATTGGTTCATCTATTAGTTGCAATAGCTTGAAGCCTGCTCTGTGTGCAGCTGACTTTATGTGCTCCTTCTGCAGTTCATCAAAGAAAGCAGGCACACTTATCACTGCCTGCAGCTCATCATGAAACTGGTCCATCAGAACAATATGCTTCAGTTTTTGGAAGATTGCAGTTGCGATACAAACAGGAGAAAACTCCATTCCACAAATTCCCACCCAAGCTTCTCCTCCAGGTCCTTCAATAATGCTGAAATGGACCCTTCTCCTCATTTCTTGGACAGAGGGATCCTGAAATTGCTTTCCTATCAAACTTTTTATGTTATAAACAACATCTGAAGGTTGTCTCCACATTCTACGCTTTGCCAGTTCTCCAACTGCAACACAGTTACCAACAGGGTCCAAGTGTTGTAGACTCCATTTATATGGTAGATATGAATTCTGTTGTGTAAATGTGACATACGATGGTGTGAAACGGCCAATTTCACTGTCAACAACATGTGGAACCTGAAATAAGCAAGTAAATGACAGGTTCAGAACTAAATGGCATGATGGAGAACGATAATGATTTGCTGTTACATGCACATCAATTTCATGATCCTTTTTTCTGAGAAAGGAACAGTTAATAGATAAGAATTGCAGAGCATGAAAAATACGACTTATCGATGTAATATATAATACCCCCTCCACCCATGAACAAGATGTAAATGCTACAGTATTTCGCTAAGACCAAAGCAGCCATTAACTACAGCTTAGGTCTGATTTACCCCTAATTAATGCCCTTGCTAGCCAGTACATGCATCAGGGCATGGCCAATCAACGGCGTTCCAAGCGGCCAGCTTTTACTCCACACAAGGAAGCCAAGATGTGCACCTGCACAGAGAGGGTATTTTCAGAAGAGACATGGCTAAATGAGCTCCATGCCTTCTTCCACGGATTGTTTGGCAAAAGAATATACGCCATGCTCATGGGAACGGAGGGAGTACATATTCTCTTTCACAAAAGAGAAGGAAATACATCAGATTAAAGACCTGGTACATGATAACTCAAATAAGTGAATTCCATGTGAGCGTGTGACTTTATTGTGCAATGTGAATCTAGACTGGCAATGGGTACCCGCTACCCGACGAGCATCAGATTAAAGACCTGGTACATGATAACTCAAATAAGTGAATTCCATGTGAGTGTGTGACTTTATTGTGCAATGTGAATCTAGACTGGCAATGGGTACCCGCTACCCGACGAGTTTTTACCTCATGAAGGTAAGGGTATGGGAAAAAGAAATACCCATGGGTATGTAAATGGGAAAAACAATGTACCCATCAGGTAGGGTAGGTGCGGGGATACAGAACCCATACCTGCATATCCAGCATCTATAGTATCTGACACGTGGGGCCTAGATGTCAGACTAAGTAAAATAAACTAACACAACAAAACAGCACATATTTTGCTAGCCCAACTCCCCTTAAACCCCACCCCAGCCACCAGCAGCCCAGCACGAGGCCCCCGCTTTCCCTGATCAATCCCCTCTTAACCCTAGGTGGGAGGCACTGTCACCGCTAGCCTCCATGGTCCCGTGCAACACGACACCTCCTCTCGCCGTCCGTGTGTCACGTGCAGCCACCTCCTCCCGCTGTCCCAGTCCCAGCGCAGCCACCTCCTCCCACCATACTTATGCAGCCGCGGCCAGCAGCCCCCTTGCCCTCGCCGGTCGGGCCTTGCACCCATCGCACGCAGCCACTTCCTCCCGCCCGTCCGCACTGCTGCCACCTCCCCCAGCCTCGCCAATCACACGCAGCCACCTCCTCCCACCGTACCGTGCAGCCTGCAGCTCGCAGCCAGCAGCCGCCTCGACCTCGTTGGTCGCGCCTCGCCATTGCTGAATGAGCAAGGCGGGTAATTTTACCCGTGGGCATTTTCTTACCCGGCTGGGTACAGGTATAGGAACAAATTGGCACCCAGGTACAGGTAGCGGGCAGAAAGAATTAAGTCAGGTACAGGTTTGGGCATCTTCTACCCACACCCGATGTGGCCGGGTGCCAATTTGTAATCCAGATAGAGCATAATTAAGAAGCATCCATCATTAGCCAAACTCTCTTTCATATAAGCAATCTGCTGAGTTTATTAGGCAAGAGTTGGCACAAAAGACATAATTTATAAGAGCACATCACAAAACTCAAGAAGGAACAAATTACGTACCAAGGAGTCTATTATTGCAACTCTTGAATTTTTGCATCCAAAGTCGATTCCCACTGTAACAAGTTTTGGTCGCTCCGTGCTGAAAGAAGACAAGGTGTATTCTTAGTGGAACTATAAGGCATAAGTTAACGAGAATGCAATGCAAAGAGAAGTGGTACCTGAAAGCAACACATCCACGTACATGATGCTGAAACAAGATAAGCAATAACAGGAAGAATGGTCAGTTCACCATAAGAAAGATAGTCAAAAGAAAATACGCATAATAGTGAAACAATGTGTCTTCATCAAGAATATAATGCAACAAAATAGAGCATATGTCAAAATGATGAGAAACATACAATATGTTCAGTAGGCTACAAAAGACAGTGAACGTTTGCAACACATATAGGAAGATCCAACCATAACATTTGTTCTATAGAGGTCGACGCAAAAAGTCAGTCTTTTTTCCTGTTTCCTCTGTTTCTCATATTATTATTTTTCCGTCTCAAAATTTTTCCTTTTCTCAAATCTCGATGTACAGAACTACAGATTATATTTTTGCCAGAAATATTACAAGTGGATAAAATATCAGAAGTGTACCAGTTCATTGTTCAACTGATGAAACCTCGACATATTGGGAAAATGCATATTTATGCAGTAATACAATAGGCTGCATGTACCAACATATGAATGGAAATGGTCCTCTGTTTCAACAACATGCACATATTACACAGGCCTAGGAATCACCACACAAAAACATGCAATTGTGTTGCATTGCAGCCAGAATAGTCAAAATAAATAAATCAGGAAAGATAAGACTGATAAATATAGCATGGAGGTACTAGTACATTTGTAAATTGTTCATGCAGGACCCACTGTGAAGTATTAGAAAACATATATGAATTCCCTAGTTAGTTGAGTCTATTTCTGTATAGACTTGAACCAAGCACAAGCGGTTTGGCTTTCATTTTGAATAATCATTCATACGAGTTAGTGAAATATGAGCCCGCAACCCTTACCGTGACTTGGAATTGATGAGGTTGCCATTGTGCTGATGCAAAACTACACCTCAATATCTACTAACAGAAACCTAAGTCAACCAGATCATGGAAATGGATCCTGCAAAGCAGGTCGACAAGGCTAAAAGTGTGGGTTCAAAAGGGATAGGTATCCTTCAGCCTTTAGGTACATTCAACAGATACTGTTATGACCGACTATCTGTACATTTTATACAATACAATTAGATGAATGGCATTCTAAAAAACCTAGCAACAAATCTTAGGAACTTCAAAAATCAACATCTTTCAAAAAATTATAAGTAAGAAAGGTTATCTTTGTACAAAAAAGGTTATCTGTATAAGTAAGAATGGCATTCTATCTGTATAAGTATATTTGAAAAAAAAAAAGTTATCTTTGTTCAAAACATTGTGTGTTTTGTGAATGGATAGAATACTCTAGAGTTCCCTTCGCCTTATGCAAGGACTGCAGATATAAGTAAGAACAAAATAATCATTTGCTTAAATTATGATGATATATCTAGGATAGGGTATAGATCTTCAAATGCATACTTAGCTGTTGATCTATTAACCAACATGTAATTGTTTAATTTTGGTTAAAACACATGTATATTGAAAATATTCAGATAACAAAAAAAGTATGCAAATGTGTTAATTGTGTGTACACCAATGGTCCTGAAAATTGCCAAATTATGTTGTTAAATAAAAAAGTGTTTGTCAATGCATACCAAATCATATTGGAGTTTTGTAACACCCCCACCTTTGGGTTGTCACAATCGGGTTTATAACCTGGACCTGGGCTTTGATATGGGTCATGGGCCAACGTTGTGTGGGTTTGGTGCTAGTAGTAAGTCATGTGCTTGTACTCCTGAGAGGGGCATCGATCAGTAAATGAAAAAGGCATTAGCCTTCTCCTTCCTTCAGTTCGTCTCTTTCCCCATCTCATGCTTTGCTAATCCCCATCCCATACTCTAATTCTTCTGATTTCTCACCCCATTTCCTGTTGTATCCGAGTGCACCATCATGTTCTCGGACATGGCTAGGCAGCGCCCGTGCGTACGGTGGTTCGTTTGGGCGCCCCTTCCATAAAAGGGAAGTATAGTTTAATGACACGCCTCACATGATAAAATAGAAAAAGCACCTGTTTCGTGTCTACTCGCACCCTCCCGCCTCATGATTCCCCAGCAAGATCCCACATGCATGCATTTAATTGGGGTTTCAACTTTTTTAAAAGCTATTATTCGAGCATCGGAATTCAGAACCGTTTTCACAGTTGGGTTTCTCGCGACGAATTCTTTCAAACTATATCTCATATGTGTAGGCAACTTTAGAAAATCACACGAAAACATGAGGCGTCTTTAGTTTACATGCAAGCAACTTCACCACACTATGTGTACCTATGAATTTTGCTAACATTATCCCAACTTGCCTATCAGTCATTCAGTTTAACAAAGCAGCCAATATATCGACACCTACTATCTCTCTATATATCTCTATGACCGCCCCTCTCCGGCTCTCCCTAGCGGTTTCCCATGAGGAAAAATAAAAGCTAATTTCCCCTATTTATGGTACCCACTAACTAATTTTTCTGTGATTTCCACAAGTCACGTCAACTTCAGTTACAACACCATTATCTCACGTTATTGTTACCTCGGGTAAGGCGCTGCGGTCCTCTCATCTCCGAAATTAACTCCCCTGCCCGATTGGTTTTTCATGGCCCTCTTCATCTTCTCCAAGATACAAATACGAGGGTGACATATGAAGCTGGTCTCCCCTAAGCAATGGATCTGCACCTTCCTGTGTTCACCACTAGGAGCACCCCTGCTCAAGAGATTCCTGGAGGTGACGAATTTGAAGCCCTCACCATTGATGCCCATCGGCTGCTGGTACAACTCCCACATCTTTGCCGCTATCGTGTTGCACACCATGAATTATATCTCAGCATCTCTGTGCAGTTACTTTGCTTCACGCATGTATGTTTCCGTTCTTTTTTTTTCAAAAAGGATGCATGTTTCCGTTCATACAAGTTATATTGCTGGTCAATATTTTTGAGCTCCTTTGGCACCTCCCTAACAACATAACAACATCCTCTTCGTATCAAATTGTTCCAGATTCCTCATTGGCTCTATTCCAAATCCTCCACTGATATATTCCTACTATATTCTGAGTTTATCCCAAATGATTCATCTATTGTTTTATGCCATACCTCTGTTTATAAATAGATGAATGATTGTTTGTATTTTCTATGCAGAAAAACAGAATGTATTATTTTCCGTCCCAATGATGCATGTTCAATGGTTGTTCTTTTGGGTTGCTCCCAACTTGTGCTATCTAATTTTTTTACATTAAAAGAACGAAGCATAGATGGTTAATTTGTTGACATGCACAACATCAAACAATGAAGAAAATATCATCAGATTGTCAAACGCTTCTTTTTTCGAGAAAACGCAAAAGGCTTTTGTGTTTCATTTCATTGAAAAGGGAGGTGGAAAAAGCCTCCTAGGAGGTGAGTTTTACAGCGGCGTTGGCCGATCAGTGTACATCCCAGGATGTCAGCAGAACAACCCTAAGCCCCTGGGCACCGGCGCTAGCCCAGCAGCGGGCCTCTTCTTTAATCTTATCTGCTAGCAAATCGATCGAGGGTGTCGCATTGTCGAAGACGCACGCGTTCCTGTGCTTCCAAAGCATCCAAGGAACAAGCAAGGCGATTGACCTGAGGGCCTTGCGATGCGTTGCCAGTGTGTGAGTTCGCTTGCTGCCACCATGCCATGACAGTGGTCTCTTGGGCCTGTGCACGGATCGGCAGGCGCAGCCAGGACAGGATGGCATGCCATGTTTGGCGAGCGAAGGGGCAGCTCAAGAGCAGGTGCTGGATTGTTTCTGTGGCTTGGTCGCATAGAAGAAACCTGGGGTGATGCTGCAGTCCGCGACGAGCGAGCCTTTCCGCCGTCCAGCAGCGATCCTGATTCGCCAACCAGTGGAAAAATTTGACTCGTGGTGGCGCCCAGCTTTTCCAAGTCAGCTTCCAGGAAGTGCATCGCGTGGAGACTTGGAAGGTGACCGCATAACAGGACTGCGACGAGTAGATGCCGTTGGCCGTCCACCTCCATAGCAGCTGGTCTGGGTCGTTTGATAGGACGGTTCTCGAGCACTGAAGCTTGTGTTCTTAGCTTTATGGGACATCATTGATAGTTCATGTTTAAAAGTTTCGTTCTGTTATCCAAACACATGTTATCTCACTGTTGTGCCTCAGCTTTACCAGAGATCCTGCAGCATCTGGCCATTGGCGATGTTGATGGTTTTGTTATGAACCATATCCAGAGTAAATAGGAAAAGTTTAATGTTCAAACAATTTCAATTATTTCGAACAAAGTTATTCTTTGTTTCAGTTTCTTTCAAGAACCCAAGACTGCCAAGGATAGCACAGGTAAGTAATTAACAAGCAGTTGTGTTTCAGTGTTGTAAGCATAAAGTGTAGGCTGCATATTGTCATAAAAATCAATGACTAGGTAGCTCTGTCTATAGTTAGTTAGTCGGTCCCTCCCATGAACTATTAACTTTTATTTTTTCCAGATTTTTTCTTATTTTAATCCTTTCCGTCCTCGCGGCTCTGTATAATTTTACCAACTTATGAAATGCAAAGTGAGCACCTGCAGTGTTTAAAAAAAAGTAATGTCTACTGTGTCCGTAGTTTACTGTTATGTCCGCATTTTATTTTTCATGTGTTCTAAAACTTGGCTACACGAATTTCAGCATTTGCGTACAGGTGAACGAAGCCTCTTTTCAAGTTACTATAAGCCAACCAAGTATATTAGAGTTATTTCAGGACTCTTACAGGCCAACCTAACAACTGAGGATTGGAATGCATGTTCGTTAGTGCTAATTCTCTTTACATTTATACAACATACAATATTGTTCGAAATTTCAAATGTACATCGATACCTTATTGGACCTTAAGTTGATGCAAGATTTCCTATTTATTTAGCTGGCACAACTTTTCTTCAAATATATTTGAAGGGTATTAGTAAAGTCCCGCAGCAACGCACGGGGAATCATCTAGTACTATGAAATAGCCTACCATTAATTCTCAGTTGCCCGCTATTGATGATTAGTTGCCTACTATTGTTGCTCAGTTGCCTAACTTTGCAAAATTGTTTGCTTACTATATTCTGAAGTTGCTTATCATAATTTT